GGCAGGGGGTTGTGGCAGCAGCCCCCCAGTTGCTTTGGAGGGTTGGGCTTCCCCCCATCCTGTTCCTCGTGTTTCATGCAGATCCCATGGAGGGGAGCCCGTGCCCGCTCACCTGCCCTCAGGAGCCCCTCACCTGCCCCCAGGAGCCCCTCACCCGTCCCCAGGAGCCCCTCACCTGCCCCCAGGAGCCCCTCACCTGCCCCCAGGAGCCCCTCACCTGTCCCCAGGAGCCCACCACCCAGGTGGTGCAGGGGTGTGTGTTGCAGGGCCGGGTCGCGTTGGGCCGCGATGTCTCCTCGCAGCGCCCGAGCTCCGGACACGTCACCAGCCGCTCCTGCTCCCCTCCACCGCACGGCTCCGAGCACTGCCGGGACACAAACCATGGAATGCTCCATCAGGATCCCAGGGCTGGAGCCCCTCTGCCCTGAGGACTGGCTGGGAGAGCTGGGGGGGTTCACCTGGAGAAGAGAAGGATCCAGGGAGACCTGAGAGCCCCTGGCAGGGCCTAAAGGGGCTCCAGGAGAGCTGGAGAGGGACCGGGGACAAGGGATGGAGGGACAGGACACAGGGAATGTCTTCCAGGGTTAGATGGGATATTGGGAAGGAATTCTCCCCTGGGAGGGTGGGCAGGCCCTGGCACAGGTTGCCCAGAGAAGCTGTGGCTGCCCCTGGATCCCTGGAAGTGTCCAAGGTCAGGCTGGATGGGGCTTGGAGCAACCTGGGATAGTGGGAGGTGTCCCAGCCCATGGCATGGGGTGGGATTTGCTCAGCCCCCTGCCCAGCCCCTACCTCTCTCCAGGAGGACGTGTACCAGTCCAGGCAGTGTGGGTTGTGGCAGGGCAGCCGTGCTGGGGGTTTGTGGAGCACAGCCTGGCAGTGGAAGGGCCGCAGCAGCCGCTGGTCTCTGGTGTCCACACAGTGAACATCCCGAACCTTCGTGCCCTCACCACAGTTCTTGGAGCACTGGGAAAGGACACGAGCATCACGCTGGGGAAGGGCCAGGCTGTCCAGGACCCCACCCAACCTGACCTTTCAAACCACTTCTTACTTAGCTTTTGCAAATTCCTGGCCCAAGAGCATGAGAAATGGAAATATCGTGGGATGAAGTGGTTTAAACTCTGTGGCAAGGGCAAACCCTCACCCTCTGCCTTTGCGAGCCGTGGGGCAAGAGCCCCCCACGAGAGCAGCAATGACCCCGCACCTGCCTTGCCCCGAGGGGTTTTTGGGTCCTCCCTCCCTGCATACCTTGCTCCAGTTGCCCACACGCCACGAGGAGCAGGGTCTCAGGGAGCACCTCTGGGCCGGGACGGGTCTGTTGGCCGGGGCACAGCCGTCGTCACTGCCGCTGCTGCAGCGCACGCTCCTCCAGATCGCGCCCACGCCGCACGTGGCCGAGCACTGCAACACAGGGGCAACCTGCTCCTCTACACCTGGCACCCACCCCCCGGATGGACCTGGCTGAGGATGGGGCAGGGTGGGCCGGCAGAAAGGTCCCTGCGGACTCAGCTCCTCCACGGGTGATGGGAGCGGTGCTGGTTAAACTGGGCAGGGCTCTGGGATGATGTGGGAAGAGGAGCAGTCCCACGCCAGGCAGCGCTCAGGGAAAACCTTCCCCCCTGCCCCATTCCATGTTAATGGGACTCAGCACCTACCTCACTCCAGTTCCCAACTTCCCAGCTGGGCATGGCAGTGGCTGCTGCGGTGGTTGATGGTGGAAGCAAAGCCGCCGCCTCCTCCTCCTCCATCCTCTCCTCCCAGAGCGGTGGGGGGGCCGGGGAGGGCTGGGACCACTTGTGCCCCTCGTCACTGAAGGCAAATGTCCCTGGGGGTGCCCAGGGTTCCCCTGGCACGGTGATGCTGAGTGGGGTCCCGTGGGAGGTCTGTTCAGCACGGGGTGGATGGTGGGACATCCCCAGGGTCCACCATTCCGGGGGGGCCTCAGAGGGGGATGCTCCTGCTGGGTGTGCAGCCGGGCTGTGAGCTGGGGCCGTGGGCATGGCTGGGGCCGTGGGCATGGCTGGGGCCAGGGCATCCTGCTGGCTGAGGCTGCTGGAGCTGAGCTGAGTGGCTGGTCCGGGCACGGCAGAGGACAAGGACGCTGCTGTGGGAAGAGCTGTAGTGGCCACCCAGGGGGCTGAGCTCAGGGATGTGGGGGTGTGGAGCTCTGGTTGGGGCCCTGCCTGCCCCCTGGGACCCCCGGCAGCACCCACGGCAGAGGGACTCACAGCAGGATGGGTACTGCCAGCACTCCATCCCATCTCCCACCCCGGTCCCTGCAGGGTGGGAAAGGAAAGATCTGCCCTCTCTGTCCCACGGGGATGCTCATCATTACCATCCACTGACACTGCCTGTGTGCCCACCACCCACCCTGGCACTTCTGCCCCCCCGTCCTGCTCCGTGGTGTCACCGTTGGTGTCACCAGTGAGGACAGAACCTGTTTCCCTGGAGTCCTCGTGGCCTGTCCCCACAGACATGGCCCTGCCATGCCCCTCCCTGCCGGGGTGCCCTGGCCCCGCTGTGCCCGCACGGCCCTTGCCATGACTCCCTGGTGCTCCAGGAATGTCGAATACATCCACTCTGGCACTGCCCCAGGCTGTGGGGAGCAGAGGGGGGAGATCAGCCGGGTGGGGACCCCAGAGAGCGAAGCCACGGGCTGGAGCATCCTGCCCTGGACCTGTCCTGGTCAGCACAGCCCCGTGGGGCTCATCCAGGGCCGGGTGGTCGTGGCTGTTGGCAGAGCTGTGACTCGTGGTGCTCTGGGTGGGTGGGTGGTCCTCAGAACGGGGCACCAGCACTGTGTCCTCCTCCTCACCCATGAACCCTGGCATGGTGTACTTGGGAGTGGCTGATCCTGCATCCTCGGGGACCACGCTCAGGAAGTCATTGCTGGCTAAATCCCCAGGCTCCATTTCCCCCTCATCCACAGGAGCAGAGGCTTTGGTGCCCAGATGGTGCTCGCTGTCTCCTCCCAGCTCGGTGGTGAGCAGGACAGCAGTGGGCACCTCCCAGGGCCCCTCCACGTCGTTGTTGCTCAGCTCTGGCTTTGCCTCCTCACCTTTGGTCTCCTTCTCCGTGAAGGGGTAGTAGGACAGATCCTCGTGGAAGTTGATAAAATTATAATCATAGTAAAAATCATCCACAAAGACGTTTCCCTTGCTGGCTGGGAAGTCCTCCTCAGGGATCACATTGACATCGTTGGACTCGGGGACGTGTGGGATGAGGGGGTTAAATTTCGTGATGTGGTTGCTGGGGATGTAATGGATGTCATTGAACACCTCCCTGCTGGAGGAGCCGCTGCCAGACCCGTCGGTGCTGGCACTGTGGGTGCTGGCACCGTGGCTGTTGGCACCGTGGGTGTCCTGGCAGGGTGGCTGGGCACAGGGATCCTCCTCGCTGGGCCTCTCTGCGGGGTCACAACCCCTCCCCGTGCTGTGGCTGCACTCAACAGGGCGTCTCCGGGTCCCGTTCCCACAGGTCGTGGAGCACTGGGAAGGGAAGAGAGAGGGAAACATCAGGGATGGGAGGCGGCAGGAGGAGCAGGGCTGGGGATGGGGTTGGCAGTAGGGCCAGAGCCCCTCACTGGTGCTCCCCTCTGGGATGCCAAAGAGGGTGCTTGGTTGTGCCACGTGCCACGACGGGCACAGGGGGCTCCACGTTGCTCTGCCTCACTCCCACCACCCACCTGGGTCCCCGGGCAGCTCCTGTGCCATTCCCACTGGTGGCAGGGGGTCCCCTGCACCAGGAGTCGGGAACAGGGGGTACTAGTCCCACTGGTAAGCAGGGTGCTGCTGCCCAGATCGAATTCTGGGGCTGTGCCCTGTTTGAGATGGTCCCAGAGCAGGGCTGGTGTTGTGGGGTACTTTGCTCAGGGTGATCCTTGACCTGCATTCCAGCCAGAAACACTTTTCCCGGGAGATGGGCACTGGGAGGGGCACTGGATAAGATGATCTAATAGGTCTTTCCTGTGACCTATCACCATGAATTGCATCTCTTCTTGCAGAAGAACATTTTTTGAAGCACTAATAACAACGTGGGTGTTGTCTGAGCAGGGAAAAAGCAAAGGTCAGGAAGGAGCTTTGTTGGGGACACCCTGGCCCCCACCACAATGGGCTCTTTCAGACGGGTCAGCAAAAAGAAACCAAGATGCTGGAAAGATCAGCAGCATTTTCTGCTGCATTTGGGCCTTGGAGCAACCTGGACTTGCGAAAGGTGTCCCTGCTCATGGTAGGGGGTTGGCATGAGACGAGCTTAAAGGTCTCTTCCCACCCAAACCATTCCAGGATTTTCCGATAGCACCACGTGGCCACCACAGGCATTTCCACCAGCTGGAATAAAACATTACCACACACCAACATCTGTGAGAGGGCTGCAAGGAGGCTGCATCCCCCCCTGGGATGGCACTGCCAACCCAGGGGAAACAAATCAACTCCCACAAAGCTAAAAGTTCCCAGCACAGGCCTCCAGCCCCATCCAGCAGATAAACTCCAGGTATCACAACGCCTGCAGGGGGGTTCTTTGCCAGGGCTGGGTTATCTGGGAAGCCTCTGGGACACAGATAAGGAATGAGGGCTGGTAGGAGCCTCGTGGAGGAACACACGGAGCTCACAGGAGGGTTCAGCCTTGAGCAGGAGCCACCACCACCAGCTGGGTCATGCTCCTGCCAGCAGAATTAATGGACAACAAACAAATCATCCTTCTGACTGCACTAACTTCCTTGGGAAGCCCATAAAGCTGGATGTGCATTGCTTTAGGGTCCCTCTGAAGATGCTAAGTCCTGGTGTTTAAGCAGTTTGCTGGACTTCCCAAACCCCAGAGAAGCCCTTTGGCACCTGGTGCTCTGGTGCCGGACAGGCACACGCACTCCTGGGGTCTGCATGGACAAAACCAGCCCCAACCCCTGTTGGGAACTGCTGCCAGAAGGACCTTGTGAAGCAAACTTCAAACCCCTTCTAATTCCCCTACTTACAGTGCTGGTGGAAACAGAGAAGAAAGAGAGCTCTTGCTTTAAATTAAAGGACAGAAAAATGTCAGAGCCTCAAAATCCTGGGCACTTTTCTCCTGAGCTCACAGATCTGTCCGTGCCAACACCACAGAGGACAACTGTGAGGGCTGGGGCTGGCCCTGCCCAGCACTGACCCACCACCAAGCCATGATTTTCCCGTTAAACCATTGCATCCGTCTCTCTCAGCCCTTAATTGTGGCTTTTGTGGGCCCCTAGAAAAATATTTCTAACTCCCTCTCTCATGTAGCCTTCAAATTCTCTGTTCGCATTCGATCCCTGCTGTTCCTTAGCAACAAGCCCCATTCCCAGGCTCTCTCCTTCCTCTCCTGGTATTTGTCTTCATGCTGAACACTTTTTGGAACGCCTGCTTAAATTAGGAGTCATCATTTTCTGGTTGAAACCCTCAACCTGCGGTGAAGCTGATCCACAGAAATACAAAAATAAATCAAGGCTGTACAGAGTGTGACCACAAAGCACATCATGAAATGGTTTGTGTTGGAAGGGACCTTAAAGATCATCCAGTTCCATCCCCTGCCATGGGCAGGGATGCCTCCCTACCAGAAAAGTGCTCCAAGCCCCATCCAGCTGAAAACCTCTTGTTTCTGTCCCCCTTTGCACAGGGAGTGTGGTGTGACCCTGAGGGAGCAGCGAGGCTCAGAGATGGGGCAGAGTCAAACAGCCCAGTGCTCCTTCCTCACTCTGAGACCTCTCCATGCAAAGGAATTCCCATCCACAGGAGCTGCTGAGCCCACACATACACATCCATGGATTTTCCCTGTGAGCAGGAGGCACACCCACTGCTGAGGGTGTCTGAGGGCAGCTTGTCCCCAGCTCCCACCAGCTCTGCCACACACTGGGACCTCCCCGCCGCTCCTCCTCACCTCGGACCAGTTCCCCACGGCCCACTGGGAGGGGCAGGGCACGTCCCGGTGACAGGGCGCGGTGGCATCGGGCTTGGGGAGGTGCTGGCAGTCTGCAGGCTGCAGGGCCCTCTGCTCGTCCAGCCCCACGCTCTGGATGCACAGCACCGTCCTCTTCATCAGTCCCGAGCTGCCACACGAGGCTGAGCACTGCTGCCACTCCCCGACCCACCACCTGCGGGCAGGGACACACAGGGAAGGGAAAAAAGAAAGGGGAGAGGGAAAGGTCTCAGCCAGAGCCTGCACCCACGTGCCAGGTTCCATCCCCGTCCTGTGGGGCCGTGGGGGAATGAGGATCCCAACTGCAGCCTGTGTGTCAGCCCAAGGTCAGGGAGCCCGGAGGGAGGGTCAGGGATGGGTCAGTCCCCGAGCTGTGCCAGGGATGGTTCTGTGCACAGAGGCAGAGAGGAGCACCCTGCCAGCACGGGACCTCCTGTGCAGCTCGTAGCCTGAGGACGAGCAACACCCTGGGGCCATCAGGGAACCCCTGGGATGTTCTCACGGGCCAACACAGGGTCTGGGATCCATCCCTACGGATGAGGGAGAGGAGAGGTGTGAAGAGCTGCACACACCCTGGGGCAATCTGGCACGGCAGTGACTGAGGTCCCCCCACTCTGGTCACCCCTCAGGGCTGTTGGACACCGAGGATGAGGTGGGGAGGGGTGGGCAGGGGAGGGTCGGACCTGGCCGGGCAGGGCTCCTCGCTGCAGGGGCGCTGCTGGTCGTCGGGGCGGGTGAGCGCGTCGCAGAACCTCTCCTCCACGATGCCAGCCAGCTTCTCCACACAGTGCACCACCTGCCGCTGCACCCCTGTGGGCATGGACAGGGGCACGGGCTCTGGAGGGGCTTGGGAAACCAAACCACTCACACAGGCACCGGCTCGGCTATGGAAACCACAGCAAACCACCCAGCGCGCTCTGTCCGCAGGTGACAAGAGGCCCTTGGCAAGTCTGAGCCACCAAAACAGCGGAAAGGAAAGGAATTCACCACTTGGTGGTGGTTTCAGTAGCAGTGCCCTCACCGAGCCCCGTGGCACCAGTGCAGGCGGGGCAGGATGGACAGCTGTGAAGGTGCTGCCCGGTGCTGGCAGCGCTGCCCAGAGCCACAGCAGCCGGTGTGCACTGGGGATTTTGGGGGCTGTGTTCCAAGGGAGCCAACAGGCAGCACACAGCTCTGCTGGCAGCCCTGCCCCCTCACAGCTCTGGGATAAATCACTGGCTCAGGCCTCGTGTCCTCGAAGCACTCGGGGGGGTGATGCTTTTAAGGGTGACCTCACCACGCTGCCTCGCTCCGGCTTTTGTCCCCGTTTTTGTAACACATACTTGACCTGTGCCCCGGAGAGCTGTCACTGAACCCCTGCCACCAGCTGAGACTGACAGAGCCCTGCTGAGCCTGCTGAGCTGGGCTCTGGCTCAAGCACTTGGGAGCTTGCAGGGCCCTGGGGCTGACCAGAGGCTCACCCTTAGCTCTCCCAAATCCACATGTCAGCTCACTCCATCACCCAACCCAGGGAGAGAGGCTCAGCCCTTCTCCAGCTGCTCACCCTCACCCGACTCCTGCCAGATTCACTCCTGCATTTCCCTTCTGTTCTGGAAGCCAAGCGCTCAAACCGTGCAAAGCAAAGCTGGTTTTAAACAAAAGCCATCTCCTGGCACTCTGTGCTACCTAGAAAGCACGAGTGTCCTTGAATTCCCCTTTCTCCCAGTGCCAGCCGCTCTCGAGGAAGGGCTTGCTGGTCCCAGCCTCTCCCTGGCAGTGTGCCAAGAATGTCCCACTCCATCAGCTGCCCCAAAAGCTGCCGCGGGGACCCCGGTGGTGCAGGATGGAGGGAAGCAGGTGCCTGACACACGGAGCCTCACCAGGCACCTTCCTGTGTGCTCTCTGTAAAACCCTGGACGTGCTCCCCCACGGGGAGGCCCAGCCAGGCGGGAGACCAGCCCTTCCACACTCCCGGGTTTCTCTAAAGCTCCTTTGTCTCCATCCCGCCGAGGAACGCCCGGGTAACAGGACACCGAGCCGGGAGCAAAGCGCTGAGAAAGCGCCGGGTCCCTGTGAGCGCCGCGGGGGCACCGGAGCCGTGACCTCAGCAGATGGCCCTTTTTTCCCCCTGCTAAGACCTCCTGAAACCAAAGACCCAGGAATTCCTGAGGCATCCCTGGGGATGTTCCACCTGCTCCGACCGCCACTCTGCAGGGCCAGGCCGGGCCGGGTGCCCCGTGGGATCCGCACTCACCGGTGCCACAGGTGGCCGTGCAGGTGGTCCAGGAGCCGAAGCGCCACAGGAACTCGGGCTGCTCGATCTCGTTCTCGCTGTTGGCCGGGCGCTGGATCGTGTACTGGTACCGCACCCCCGGGTTGGTCTCCTGGAACAGCAGCTGGGGGAACAAGGGGCGGTCAGGGCAGGGCAGTGGCATCACGACCCGGAGGCTTCTCCGGGGAGAGCGACCTGCCCAGCACGGCCAGAAGTGTTCAAGGCCAGGTTGGACAGGGCTTGGAGCAAGCTGGTCTAAGGGAAGATGTCCCTGCCTGGAGGAATTCCCTAAATTGCTGGGAATAGGCTCCTGCTGCTCCTGCGGTTGACACAAGTCCTGCCCAAAGCGCCTCCTGCACCCACGCTCTGAGGGCCGGGAGTTTATCCCTGTTTTTCTTAGCCTAAGCACTCCCATTATTGCCAAAGCTTTGTTGTTCTTGGAGCTTTGGCGGAAGCCAGGGCGTCTCTCCAAAACCTCTCCATGAATATTGAAACATTCTTGTCCAAAGGTTTTAATTAGGCTACAGATCCCAGAAAGTGACTCGTGGGTGCCGAGCATGCCAGCACCCCCATTAACAGCAGCTCTCGGAGGCAGCGAGCCCGGGATCCCGCAGCTGAGCCACTGATGAAGGGTGAAGGAAGGAGAAGATTTTGGCTGCTCAGGGTGGCCGAGCTCCAGGAGAGCCTGTGCAAAGGGCTGATGTTCCCGAGAGCATGTCGGGATGAGCCGTGACTGCTGGGCAGGGGAGGGTCCTGGGGGTTCACGGGATGCAGCTCCGTGGCCATCGCTGCCCCTGCACCACACTTGGCACCACGAGGGGTTTCAGGCTGGAGTTGGCTGTGCCATCCTCTGTGGGATGATTCCCACTGGCTTCTCCAGAGCAAAGCTTGGCCTCAGGGTCACAAGGATATTGATTCCCAACAGCTTTGCATCAAGTGGCAGATCCCTCAGCCCTGACCAGCCCAGCCAGAAGCACCAAGGGCTCTTCCCCTGCTCTTGATAAGATATGGGAAGGGCCTCAGGAAACGGCTCTTTCTGCTCACACTCCCTCTCCCGTGTAAATATTTTGAGGAATGCTGCAAAGGGGATGAGGCTCAGCTGGAAGTGCTGTGGGCTGGAAGTGCTGGCCGGGCCGGTGGCGTGTGCTTGGCTGCTCCAGCGTTGGCTCCCAGAGAAACACGCTCAGCCAGGAGATGCAGAGCCCCACGCCTGGATGCAGGGCAGTGCTGTGACAGACCGTGGCAGCTCAGCCCTGCCCAGGAAGGCTCTGTCCCCCCAACCCCCCCGCTGTGTATCCCATCGTACCTGGATCCACACGGGC